TTACACTGTAACTGGCCCAGAATGCCTTTTCAAGGCCTGATGTCTTGGTAAAAGTTGTAGATATTGACGAGCCAAACAAAACCTCATCATAGATTTTGCCGAGAATTGGCTGGAAAAATGATTTAGGTCGAAATGTTGCGATATGAATTGGCTTCCGAAATCGCTGTTATGAAAATTTTGATATGGGGCTTGTATGGGTTTTTATATGGTACCCATATGATTTTTTTGGACAAAACCTATTTTTTGAGGTATATTTTTCGAAACTGCCCGGGCCTTTTGGATGAGGGACAACTTTTTTTTTTGGAGCAGTCTAAGCGACACATAACAGCGGTTTTTTCATAGCAGTCAATCAAATATCACGATCTGTTAAAATTTCAGTATTCTACGTTGTTCAAATGTCAAAACGAGAACCGCTGTAAGAGGGCGATACGAATTTACATTGTTATTGCTTTTAATAGAAAAACACTGGCATTCAAGGAGTACGAATTTGCAAAAACAATTGAAACATAAATGAGACCTATGAACAAAGACAGTTTGAAGTAACCAATAGAATCGTTTTTTTGCTACAGTCCAATTACAATAACTGCAGAGCTTAATGTAATTATGAATCTGTCAATCACGTATCAATGAAAGTGACATTTTGACTATGCTGTTGATTAAAACTATCAGACGAATTCGTCGAATAAATAACTTGTAACAGTGATCTATAAAAATGGGGATAGGTAACTTGGCCGCCGACGGGAAATTACACTTGGTCGTCGTCGGCTAAAAGTATTTTTCAGAAGTATTACTTTTGGTCGCCGGCGGCTAAAAAGCATTTTTATCTGCGGCCAAAAAAATGAATCAATTTCTACTTCTCTTTATATTTCCGATCCTGTTGATTAATTGTTGAATTATATTTATTCTTTATGTAAAAATACTGTAATGCCAAACAATATCGCTCGCTTAGTATAATATTGCCCATAATTAGCTTCTTTTTTGTTCTAATTTTACACTTTGAACAATTCAATTTACATATTCACATGAATTGTAGTTGCCAACTAAATATCAAACTAAATAAGAATAAGGAAACAATATTTCTGCACTCTATTTCAATAAAAGCGTCCAAATAATTTTAGTACTTGATTTAGATCACGTCGGTAGTCGACTAGGCAATATAAAAATTTATTTTTTGAATAAAAGTCTTGAACCAATTTTGGATGACGCATTCTAAATGCGATCTTTTTTATTTAAAGTATCTCTCAATTTTGAGGAAAAAGTGGCCAAATTTGATCACTCTGCGAGTTTTTTTTAGCTCTCTGCCGAACTTGGGGCACAGCATATCTTTCAATTTATGAGATTCACGGTCACTTCAATATACATGCGAATCGAAATCAATTTATACTCAATTCCGTGAATTCGTTGGCTAGCGAACTATATGCGCGTCGGAGTGAAAAATCATGCAAAACATAAGAAAGACAAGGACCGCTATACAAATGTGAACATGACAAATGATCTATTGCCATTGACATTGATGAAAATGAGTGAGGTGACAAGATGATTGACAACATATGAAAGATCGCCTAAAATATCAATAATCCCATTGAATGAGAATGAGATGAAACATACCCGATCGAGCAGATACTGGCTACAATCGATAATTCAAACACTTTACAACTCATTTCCTCTCACAATTTTTCTCTCTTCACACGAACGTATTCTATACAGATACAGGACCAATTCAATGTAAACAAATGTTGTTGCAACAGTAAAACAGAGATTTTTTGTTGACAAAGCATTCGTCGTTTCGTGGACTTCAGCAGAGAGAGAGAGAGAGAGAGAGAGAGAGAGAGAGAAAATTTTATTTTATACGCCGCCACTGAAAAACAATATTTGTTCTTCCAATATGAGCAAATTCATCTAAACAAACGAATTTATTTGTTTAATAAGTAACCATTGTTGTATTGTCGAAATAATGTGCCAAAATTTAACAAATTTTGCCGAAAGTTTGCATAATATACGGATCTTTTTTTTAAATTGCAATCGGAAGTACATGTGAAATAAACGAAAAGGTGTAGTGCTTAACTATGTCTAGTTATCGCCCGAACATTTAATTCCGAATGAGACTAAACAATTTGCAGAATTATTTATCAAAAAAATATTTGAATACAATACTATTTCTTCTGATATGCTTAAAAACTACCAAATTTCACTACAACTTGAGGCAAGAAAATGGCCGTAATCAGTTGATTTTCTCATCAAATTCATTCTTTTCCGACCAATCGAATATAAATCTAATTCGGGGGTGGAAGCAAGTAAGCAAAACAGCCTGCTCGAGTAAGCAGAAAGTTCATTTTTCGAGCAGCAAATAGCAAGCTATTACAATTTTCGTCAGAAACTCGGACCGAGCAAGTTGAATTTTACTTACCAACTTTTTGGACTTCGAGCAAGCTGAATTTTGCTTTCTTACTTTACGAGCTTCATGCGAGCTAACTTGCTCGTCTACTCCACCACTTGCTACTAAAATTTTCTTGCTGATAAACATATTGTGTCCAAAACGCATATTTTCAATATCGCATAGGTAGATATCGCCCTAATATCGAACGATATTCTTCTGTTTACGTTGCCGCATTATCCGATATTGAAGACACTCGCATTGGTGTTCGTTCAATGCTGTGAAATTTACATTTCAAATGTAGCAATGAAGTTTGATGAATAATGAAAGAACAAAATCTAAAAAAATCGTAGTTCAATTTAATTTCTACTTTTTTCATTAAATGCACTGATAGAAGATATATCGTAAACCATTCAAATTGTAGCATAGTGCAAATTATAACAATTGAACAAATAGACTAATTTTGTGTTCCTGTTGTTTTTTATATCATATTTGCGAAGAACACGAAAAAACCTTCCGATATGAATTATTTGTTTTTTTTTTTTAGAAAAGTGGTTTATTTTGAGGCTATGTTACAATTAGAACTATGTTACAATTTGGATGGTTTACGATAGAACAGAATATTGAACATTTTTTACCCCTCCAAAAAAGGAACATCTGAATATTTTTCAAAGCTGCAGTTATGATTTTATGTTAAAATAGCCATTGCTATATGGCCTAATAATTTTGAACGTTTGAACCGTTTCAGAACGTTCAAATGAATGTATTTGGACGTATACGATTGTA